ACAAGATCAAGTAAAGTCAGTTTTTACTTCGTTTTTTTTGCGAAATCCGAATTGTAAGTCTGACAAAATATCAAATTTCTCAATAAAAGACATAATATGTTTACTGACAACACTTTCAAAGATTTTACTGAAAACTGGAAGTATCGAAATTGGTCTGTAGTTGCCTAAATCTTCTGTTGAGCCTTTCTTATACACAGGAGTTACTCTAGCAATTTTAAGAAAATTCGGGAATATTCCGTGCTTAAAGAAGTTATTTATGATATGGGTAAGTGGGCCACAGATGTACAAGAAAGAATCAATCACAAGTCTTGCGTGAACATTATCATAGCCACATGATTTCTTTAAATTTATTTTGTGAATTTCACTCAAAATGTCAAGCTCGACGACAGGATGAAAGTAAAAGGAATTACTAGTTGGAATTGGAAGAAATGAGGCAAAGCGTACATTTGAATTTATTTGTGCTGCAAGTTTAGGCCCTATTTTTGTGAAAAAAAAAGTATTAAATTTCTATTTAATAGAATATTTAATATTTCCTTGTTTGCAGTTGCGTAATTTCCAATATTTCCTTCTAATTGACTTTTCAATTTCCGGGGGGTTTTGAGAATGTTACAATTTTTGTTCACAACTTCATTAATAATTTGCCACGTTTTGCTGGTGTTTCCCCTGTTTTCTGAAAAACGCTTGTAGTAATACATTTGTTTAGCCTTTCTGATGACAGTAGTTAGCATATTACGATAATATTTATATTTGCTTTTAAAATTTTCTTTTCCTGGATATTTGCACATTTTTGAATAAAGTTTATGTTTTGTTTTTACCGATTTCAGAATACCACTAGACAAACATGGTTTACACAATGGTTTTTCGTGTGCCATTTTTTGCTTAATTGGTACATGCCTAAATCAAATACTGCTAAAAATATTCATAAATTTTATAAATGAAGTGTTAGGGTCTGTGTCATCATAAACTGGAGACCAATCTACAGAGCTCATTTCATCACTGAAAAATTGTCCATTGTAAGTTTAAAAGCCTAAAAATCGCGAGTGAGAAAGTTTTTTGAAATTGTGTGAAAGATACTTAATGCGAGCAATAAAAAT